AGATATTTCCCATTAACGTGAAGGGCTCTGCTGGAAGTCTTGTGACTTTGGTTAGTTGGTTGTGTTCTTGGATTATATCATATGCCTTTAACTTCCTCGTGGGTTGGAGTTCCACAGGTAGGTTAAAATGTACTCTTAATTCCTTGTGAGAATACTTACTCCTCCCTTAAAAAAAATGAAGAAAATAATAAAAAAATGAATGCAAAAATTCATATTATGTTTGGTCAGGAACTTTCTTCATATTCTCTGGCATATGTGGCTTCACCGTTCTATTCGTGGCAAAACTAGTACCAGAGACGAAGGGGCGTACACTAGAAGAAGTTCAAGAATCTCTTAATCCATGTTCAGCCAAGAGATGAATTTGGCATGACCCAGTTGCAGAATTGCATGCACAATAAATCCAGCAACAATTTTCATATGATACATGATGAAAAAGATTTTATGAAACAAACTTGATCATTTTGAATTTGTATTGTTGCTTGAATCGCACTCCAAGATTTGATCATTATGGAAGTCAAGAGTATTGCAATATCTTTCCGTGATATAGTTTGCTAAAAATAAATTAAATTGGAAGGGGAAGTTTGAACAATTTCATGTTGTTTCAAAACTAAATTTCCAAAATTTATAAAAACTAGTTCACTTGTGAGGGATGAATTTCATCCTTTTAAAAGTGGGTATATCACCACCTAACAAGATGTCCCGTGAAAATATACATCCTTTTGAAAGTTTCTCCTTAATTGCTCTCAAATGATTCCTTATCGTATCATGCATGATATCTTGGATGTTAATTCCATCCAAATCCCAATAAAAATACCTAATATTAGATGTGCAGAATAATTATAAAGGGTATAATTATAATTTAATAACGCAAGTCATTATCATGTCATTTTCTGTTTCATACATGTCGGATGAACACGTCATGTTATCACATTTATAAAGACCACGGACTAACTGTGAGCAGCTTTATAAGATTGATTTGAAAACCCTTTTCAGGTAACAACTTGGTTGGAAACGACTGTATCAATCATCAAACTTTATCATTTAATAAAAAAAAATAAAGTACTAGGATATCGGATCACGTGTCTTTACACATCGCATATTTTTAGGTAGAAATATATAATAAAAAAAATATCCTGCTAACTTTGATAAATAAGAACCTTTTGGGATAAAGTAAAGCAAAAAATAATAACTTTTGATGAACAAAATAAACGTATAATAACTTGTATAAATTAGTTTATAGATGTTATCCATTAGAAATTGGTTTTGGTGCATGGATTGGATTGGAGTAAGAAAAAGGTTTGGTTAATGCAATGATAAGTGGAGGTGATCCACTAATTTGTAGAAGGTGGTGAAGATGGAAATCCGTTTTGTGTGGAGGTATTTTGGTTAGGGAAGGGTGAAAGAATGACAGGAGAAAATCGAAAAATAAAAAAGAAGGTTGATGAAGGGACAGGTAGATAATTAAGTAGGAATTGTTAATAAGCGGTCAACGGTGATAATTTGAAGGTTAGGGAAGTGAGTAAGATAAGAAAGAAAAGAAGGGTATTTGGAGGGAGTCCAACGTGGGACCCGGCACCGTTTGCTCCATCACGGAGTCCAGCTCATACCGTTATTTTAATACTCTAATTTTCTTCGCTTGGTTCTTTTCATTTTCAAACATTACTTTCTCTCTTCCTCTTTCTCTTCTTCTCCTTACTCCTCTCCCTCTCCGCCATCATGATTAATTTTTTCTTCAACAAGAGGAGTGCCTCCTCTCATTCTCAACACCACCATCACCCGCTGCTCTTGGGCCTGGGCCTGGGCCTGGGCCTCGCCACGCGAGACCTCCACACGCCTCCCAATGTTCTCCAATCCGCCATGCTCAGGCCCAACGCCGCTCCTACCTCCGAGAACGACAACAGATTAGTTCCCGTTGGATCTAACGGCTTGACTTCTTGCACCGAGAGTCTAGGGTTTGAGAGCTCCGACGAGATTCACGGCGACGCCAATGCCGCCGCTGAGAACGATGAGATTTCGCGGAGGAGGGTCACATTGAAGGCGGAGGCCAGAGCCAAGGTGCGCTCCTTCCCGCCGCCGCTTACGTCGCTGAGCCGCGACGGGAAACCGAGTTTTTATCTCCGGGCGGTGAGGAAAGACGGGAGGTTGGAGTTGACGGAGGTGAGGATAGAGCGGACGGAGATTCTGCGCGCTTCGAGGCACAACGGAAGGTTGACATTGCATCTGGTGGCGGATCTGGAAGATGTGGAGGAAGAGGAAGAGGAAGAGGAAGAGGAAGAGGAAGAAGAGGAAGAAATGGAAGAAGATAGGGTTAGGGTTAGGGTTGAGGAGTGGAAGTTTCCGGTGGAGGGAGTGAGGAGGTGTCACGAGATGGTGGTGAAGCAGCATGGCGATATGCGAATGTGTGGAATCAGCATTGTGTGACATGAGGAGGACACGTGGCGGCCACGTGGATGAATGATTTGATTTTACCTAGAACGGAACGGAACTGGGGTTGGGCTGCATGCGGGGAAACGACACTAGGGAATAATGCCGTGTAATTATTTAACTGCGTTTTGTGTTGTTAAGCAGTGGAGAGAGAGTAGAAGAAGAAGAAGTAGAGGATGGGAATTTATCAAAATTTTCAACTGTTACATAAGACAAAATCAAAATTTTAGCATCCTGTCCATTAATGAAAATAACTCCAGTTCTTTTACCTCTCTTGTATCAATCGCCATACGAGTCAGAGCCAGAGTGATCACTGATCGCTATTTTGGTGGAAAAAAAATGAGTTCGGCGGCCCCATTTCAAGGGTCTTTCTTCCGCATGCTAAAACTTGTTCTCCAAATATCTGAATTTTGGGTTATTTTTCAAAGAGTCTTTCAAAAATGTTGTTGGCATGACATCAAAACATTGTGAGAGAAAAGGGGTTATTGTTTGAAGCATCATTTGTGAGGAAGAACCAAATGTTGGAGCCTACAAAGTTGTCCCTACATAGAGAAATGTTGGACATTGTTTCATTTATTAAAAGATAAAAGGAGTATATGATCCAACATGCAAGAAGGGATCTTTTGTTAGTGTATACGATTGAGTATTTGGGTTTCCAAAATACTGGAAAGTGCCTTGAATTATTGCTATTTGACTCAGACTTATTTTAAAAAAGTCGAGGCATTTCGAATTGTTTGTTGACACGGACAAAGTCAAAAAAAAATTCTGAAATTTTTTTCATATTGGACCTTGGACATATCATAGTTCGGAGTCTTTAGCATCAGGAATCACTTTGTAATGTGTAGTGAGTAAGTCACACAAGTAAGCTTGACACCACAACATATCCTAAAATCTTAAGGTATTAGGTAGGTGGGTCCAGTCACAATCCCACGGGATAATCCTACTCTTAGATCCAATCAATACTCGTCTGAGTTGATTACTAGTCACTTGGTTGAACCATCAACTCTGATACCAATGTTGGGGAGTCTTTAACATTAGGGAGCACTCTACAATAGGTAGTGACAAATAAACTTGATATCACAACATATTCTAAAACCTTAAAACATTAGGTAAGTGGGTCTTTCTCACTTATATATTACTCAACATGCCCAACTTTAACTAATGTGAGACTTTACTTCATACTTGAACTCCAACACATGTATCACCATGAGGAACGCTGGTTTGTTTGCAAAATGATCAAGGTGAGTTTATTGTGGGTTTCACTTTTCACCTCAAATATTGGGACCTGCATGGTTCTTGTAGAATTATATGGAATTTTCTTGGGTGCTAGGCAACAAGGTTTCATTGTAAGTTTATCGTGGAATCAGACTCTTTAAGTGTCATTGTCATTAGCCTCCTCAGAGGAGATGGGCGTGACAGACTGCACCATGCTTTTCCATTATTCAACAAATTCATTTATTCTTTTCCAATGAAGAAATTCATTTCCAGCAATTCTTTTTTTTATTAAAATTAGTTTTTGTTAGACTCTTCGCCCTTTACTTGATAAAATAATAAAATCAATTTTTTTATGGACATAATTTCTCAAATATTTCAAAATTATCGATAATGATTAATTTATGTTAATTTTCGTTAACTAAATATTATTTTAATATGAATGAGAATTGAATTTGAAGATATCAAATCAATCAACCCTATATTTCAAGCAGGCGTTAAAACTACCAAAACAATAAACTTAATTTAAAGAAAAAAAAATCAAATAGATATGAAGAAGTAGCTAGTAAATCAATCAATTCCATATTTCAAGTTGACGTTACAACTACTAAACCAAGAAACTTAGTTTTAAAAAAAATCAAATGGGTATGAAGAAGTAGCCAGTAACATTGGTGCATTAAAAAAAAGTTGGGATTCTTACAATTATAAAACTTATCGAGAGAAGGACAAATTCTTACTTAACTATCAACATTTTCAAAAATAATATGAACAAAAAGCATGGTAGGATATTTGCTTTATTCTTTTACAAAATGTTTTCTATTTTAATGTAGTCAATGTTTTATTTTACGGTAAATAATGCTATTTTAATATGTTAATAAAAAATTAAAATTAAATTATTTACAACAATAAAAAATACAATAACAAGTTAGAATTACTTGATATGATATGTAATTTAGGTTGTCACCATGTCATGAGATTAAAGAGAAATATTTAATATGTGATTAATTGAAAAGACTAATTATTATATGTTAATAAATTTATTAAATTTTATTAAAAAATGTAAAATATTAACAAAAATGGTACGGTGAATAATATTATTTTAATTAATATGCTAATAAAAAATTAAAATTAATATATTTACAAATTACTACAATTGCAAAATTTATCCAAAAAAAGGCAAACTCTTCCTTAACTGTCAACAACATTTTCAAAAATAACATGAACAAAAAGCATGGTAGGATATTTGTTTTATTCTTTTACAAAATATTTTTCACTTTAACGTGGTCAATGTTTTATCTTACAACAATAAAGAGTACAATAATAAGTTAGAGTTACCTGATATGATATAAGATTTAAGTTAGCACCATGTCATGAGGTTAGAGAGAAATATTTGATGTGCGAAAAATTAAAAAGACTAATTATTATTTGTTAATAAATTTATTAAATTTTATTAAAAAATGTAAAATATTAACAAAAATGTTATGGTGAATAATACTTTATTATTTTACAAAATGTTTTCCATTTTAACGTAATCAATGTTTTATTTTACAACAATAAAAAATACAATAATAAGTTAGAATTACTTGATATGATACGAGATTTAGATTGCCACCATGCTATGAGATTAGAGAGAAATATTTGATATAGAAAGAATTGAAAAGACTAATTATTATGTATTAATAAAATTTATTAAAAATTTAAGACTAATTATTATGTATTAATAAAATTTATTAAAAATTTAAAATATTAATAAAAATGTTACGGTGAATATGTTATTTTAATATACTAATAGAAAATTAAAATTAATATATTTACAAATTAAAAACTCAGGTAAAAATGAAAAACGTCAATATGTTATTTTAATATACTAATAGAAAATTAAAATTAATATATTTACAAATTAAAAACTCAGGTAAAAATGAAAAACGTCCACAGCAGTTTTCTAACCTTCTCGTGCTAAGCCCAACATATTTCAATTCTTTCTCCTTAACCACTCGGACATATCGACATTGTGACTATTTAGTGTTCCAAAATTTTATAGTTAATTAATTCAAGACAATGGAAAATGTGTGGCCACCAAACCATGGTGCAGCACAATTAATTGTTCAAGACAACTTTGTCTTTCTTTGGATCTATTTATTCATTTAGAGGGTCATATTTGATGTGCTACAAATTAATAAATAATCCATTGTAAAAGTTTCTACAAATTTTAATCATTAGCATATTGGATTTTTTTTTTTTTTGTGAGAACGTTAAAGTCCAATTCAGATTTAGGTTTTCTTCCTTGCTATATTCACTAGGTTCATACACAGTTGTTGTAACGGTAAATAACAACAAAGCATTCCATTGTGATATCCTATTTGATTTTGGTTCTATTAATGCACGTACAATGGAAGTTATGGTATATTTAATTATTTACTATACTTGTTTTCAACGGTGCCAAAATTTAATAGTAAAAAGATAAAGTAAATCTTAATTTTACCTTCTCAATATTCAGTCCCTAATGTTACAAATCTGTCAAAGATATGTTGTTCATTTTATTCCTTTTACTTTTCTTACTATTATTTTACATTAATAAAAATATTGAGTAAAATGTTATTTGACAATATTAACAATTCCATTATAATTTTCAAAATTTAAAATTAGAATGTCTCATCCTCAATAAGAACTGTATAAAGGATTTTCTTAAAAGAAATTAACTTATATCGATAGTGAACTTTGTAAACATGTATAAAAATTATAATCAAGAAATAAAATGTCTCATGCAATTATCCATTTAAAGTGTGCCAAAATATCCACCTCCAATTCCTAAGATCGTAAGAGAAAGGTAGAGTTAATTACATTTTTTGCAAAAAAAAATAAAAATTGTTTCATATAAAAATGAGTAATTCGATATGTTATTTAATATGCTGATAATTTGGATTATATATTTTTATATATTCAAATACAAATATTTATTTTGAATGAAACTTTGTTTAAAATATACAATGTAATTATCTTTTATTTTTCAATCACTAATGAGATATTCTCAAGCACTTGTAACATAATTGTCTGTAACTCACTAATATTTATATTTAATAATAATAAGTTAATAAAAACTAACACAACTAAATCACTTTCTTGTGTATGGATGCAAGCAGAATATTTCTCAAAACATCATATAAATAACTTATAATATTAAGCAAAGTATTTTTAACCATGAAGCACAACTCAAATACGCAATACTTTCACACTTAACCTCTCATCTCCTTCCACTTTCCAAAATTGAACTTTGTCATCTAGGTTAAAGTTGTTCTCTCTACCAAAGTTGTACCAACCTCTTCCAAAAACCCCTTGAATTTGGTCGTTTATCCTTGCACCATATTATATCCCAATCTTCTTCCATGTTGTTTGGTAGCTTCACAATAATAGTTGATGGTTGATTAGTAAATTCAGTTTCCACCACATTTGTTGGAATGATCTAAACATGAAAAACACATAGGTAAAATAAAAATATAACTAATTAATAAATATATTAATATTACAAATGTTAACTTACCAATGATTTCCAAAATGGGCGTTGTTCATGAAAAATTCTACTTTCCCATAACATTATTTGATTTGCCTTGCGAGTCCTTGAAGCACTTCCAACTTGTCTCCTTGGTTGAAATTCTATAAATTGGTTACTTGGTGTTTCATTGATGGAGAACCTTATTTTAAATGTGTCTTTTCCCACATATTTAAAGTGAAGCAATGTTCCAACTTTAATGTTGTAGAAAGCCTTCAAACAATTGATGCCATTACCAAATTTAGCAGAAACCTTATTATTTATGATATCAATAACAATGTCCACCAGGAAGATATTGCCATAATTATCTTCAAGTATGACTTTTTTGCTCAGTTCATTACCCCATGTGTTATAAAAACTTGTTGGAATTTTGACTGTTTCCTGATATGCATTTTCGAAAATATATAAATGTGTTAGATACGTTATATATTATTGAAAGTTAATTATATTTCATTCTATAAGAGGATTTTCATGGTGTCATATTTACCTCACAAACACGAACTGCTCCTTCAAAGAATGCGTTTGAGTAATCGTGATTTTCCCATGACTGTAGATCCATGATCTATATATATATATATATATATATATATATATATTCTCTCTCTCTCTCTATATATATATATATATATTCTCTCTCTCTCTCTATATATATATATATATATTCTCTCTCTCTCTCTATATATATATATATATATTCTCTCTCTCTCTCTATATATATATATATATATTCTCTCTCTCTCTCTATATATATATATATATATTCTCTCTCTCTCTCTATATATATATATATATATTCTCTCTCTCTCTCTATATATATATATATATATTCTCTCTCTCTCTCTATATATATATATATATATTCTCTCTCTCTCTCTATATATATATATATATATTCTCTCTCTCTCTCTATATATATATATATATATTCTCTCTCTCTCTCTATATATATATATATATATTCTCTCTCTCTCTCTATATATATATATATATATTCTCTCTCTCTCTCTATATATATATATATATATTCTCTCTCTCTCTCTATATATATATATATATATTCTCTCTCTCTCTCTATATATATATATATATATTCTCTCTCTCTCTCTATATATATATATATATATTCTCTCTCTCTCTCTATATATATATATATATATTCTCTCTCTCTCTCTATATATATATATATATATTCTCTCTCTCTCTCTATATATATATATATATATATATATAAAGAGAGAGAGAGTAAATATTTGTATATAATTAACATAAATAAACACAATTTCACACTCTGTCATTCACATTTCAAGATTTTCCAAATCATGTCTTCCAACTTCAAAATTGCACATTTTTTTATTATCAATTATATCAAACTTTATACATTTATTATCTCACTAGTTGATTGTCTAACATTATTAGTTGATTATTGATATAATATAATAACTTGTAACCTAATATTTAGTATCTAATATAACACATTAATTATTTATGTGAAATATTATTTCACATCATTAATAGATCAATATATTATATTAACGATTAATCAATTAAGTAATAAAATGTATAAAATTCTAAAAATTCTAAAAATTAAGTAACGAAATTCATAAAATTGTGAAACATGAAAAACAAAAAGTACAATTTAACTCACAAAATATAACATATTTATATAATATAATAAAATATAATATAAAAATTATTATTTAGAAAATAATAAAAGACAATATGATATTAATATTTTTTTCCTATACACGTGTGTGGATATTTCCACAATATGCCGAAAGAATAATCTGGACATTCTCTTTAATCTCTACAATTGCTTCCAATGTTTACAATTTTTCAAGGCAGCAATATTACATAATAGGGGAAATAATTAATCTTTTAGGCTTTTCAAACACAATTAGTAGATGATTTTTGTAAATGACTATAAATTATATAAGATAATATAACTTTCATTTGTAATTATTTGTATATGAAAACTTTAATTGTTATTTTTTGAAAAATAAAAATAGCATTTGATTTGTAATCTTTTTAAATGGAAATATATATAATACAAAATATATATTTAAATTAACTAAATTCATAGTTAGAAAATAAAAGAAAAAAAATTGAATATGGAAAGAGAAACGACATACCTTTCAGTGGCTGAGAGGATGTCAACGATAGAGAAGTAAGAACTTTGTCTGTTTTTTATTGAACCTGAGACCAAAATGGATAGAAGAAACAGAGAAATAGATTCAGAGATTGAGGTTAGTATTTGAATGAACAAAGAGCATGAATAATCACATATATGAAATAAAAAATAAAATAAAAATAGAAACCTAGTTTGATGCAGCACAAGCAGTAATGTGTGATTTGAGAACCCAACAACGACATACTTAAAAGGGTTAGTGAATAGCTTTTAGAAATTGAAAAGTCTAAAAAGTGATGCTTTTTGGCCTAATAGTATGGCATTTTTTGTGAGAAAAAGTAGAAGAAAGTTGGAAATTGAAGTAAATGAATTATCTCTTTGATTGAATGATAGAGTATTGAGATTTATGCTTTAACCAAAAACGCATACTCTTTAACGGTTATTTTTGACTTATTTTTACTGTAATTATTAGTAAAGGGAAAAAACAGTGGTACTTCGTAACTCTTTATTTAAAAATAAAAAATAAAAATAAGAAATAATGAATAGTTATTTAAAGAGATAAAGGTTTGAAAATTGAATATGAAGTAGAAAAAGAGAGAATAAATAAATAAATAAAAGAAAAAAAAGAGAAAGTGATTTATAAGAAATTAGTGCAAAATTTATGTACATCAAAGATTATTATTATTATACAAAAGATACTTTATATTTCTGTGTATTATTTTAAATAAATAATAAATAATAAAAATTATATAAATACAGATAACTATGAAGTAAAATTTATAATAAAAAATTATAATTTATAAAAGAATAGTTATAATGGTGATTCTTTTAAAAAAATGTGGATACCAAATAGGACAATCTTTTTTTTATTAATAGTATAGATTGTTATTATTATTTAATACTAGTACATATAAATCCAACCGTTAGATTGAAAGTTTATATACTTTATATGTGTATATCAAATTTTGTTAAAATTGAACAACAACTTGAAAATAATCAAAGTGTTAATATTTAAATATATTTTGAAATGGATATATTACGACAATTTTGTTTTATAAGAATAAAGTATCAAATCATTTTAGATTAATATAAAATATTTATGATCTAAAAATAAAGAACTTTCAATCTAACGGTTGAATTTACAAAATTTACAATTAATATAAAATTATTCAGCGATGTAATACTTAATAAAAGTTACACCGGTGTAATTATAACCTCTTTTATATATATACATATGAGGGAGTTATAATAAAGATATATATATATATATATATATATATATATAAAGGACCAGAACGTCCATAAGTAATATAAAATTACTGAGTAAAATTTATTAAATTAAAAATTAGACTTACAAAAAACTTATAACTTCTAATAAATTTCAAACATAAAGAACATCCGAAAGAACGTATAGGTTTACTTTGAAGATTGAGGGAATAACTTTTAGGGAACATCCTAATTTAAAAACAAAAAATAAAAAAAATGTGGATAACATTTTTCATAGTGAATTAATCCATTTTGATTTATAATTTGTGATAAATAACAGATTTAGCGTACACCAAACATGCAAGGTAGCTTAGGAATCACTCAAATTTACATTAACCTTCACCATCTGTGCGTATGCTACCTCGACCTGTTTCTTGAAGAGAGCATGCAATAGCCCAGAATAAAAACCACTAAACCACACAGAATCCTTGACTCCAGTGAAATTTATGAGTGGCTCCATACACTAGGATTGAACTCGAGATTCATATAGTTGAGTAGCCTATACAATTTCACGTGGTCTTCCTCTTCTTGCTTCGCGATTTCAACGGAAGAATTGGGTTATGTTCAATTATCAATAGTTCTGCAATGACACAGGTGACTGAATATCTTCCAACTCTTTCAAGAATTTATTCATCTCGAGTATACTCTAACAACATGTGTGGAGAACGGTAGATTTTAACAAGTGTCCCATACAAAACCTCTTCCACTTCAAGCTCTCCAGCAGCTCTTGCAGCATATATATCTTCACATATTGCCATCAATCTGCATCAATGAACACATTATTTGGACACTTATTAAAACAGAAGGGAACCCATATTAGAATACTCGAACATAGGATGGATCAGTTGGTCGAGCACCTGTCACAATGAGGAAGATTCTCAAAAGGAATTCTCATACGTAAGTCAGAACATTGTAATCTGATAAAACGTCCAACCGCAAGCACGAAGGTAATGTACAGTCCCCAGATGCTGAACTTGCTCAGAGTGTCACCGATAATGCCCTCTAAAGCAGCAACAGAATTAGTATTAATGAAGGTATTGATAAAATGCGTGTGTATGAATGTTTTGTTTTAAAAAGCAAGTTACTAATAAAAAGCCAATACAAAAGCTACTTAAAGTTGTTTCAATTCATTAATGTTGTACAATGTACCAATAATCAATTCTATCATAGAACCAAATATATAAACATTTATCTAAAATCACATTAGTTTATATTTTAACATGATTTTATAGATGATCCAACATCAATTCAAACACACTAAATAGATAACTGCATTAAAGTTTGGTAACTGTATTAAAGTTTCAGTTCAGCTTACGTGGGGTTTCTTCAGATACAATTATGGCCATCGGTCCTGGGAACTTCCCACATCCATGGGAACCTAAGATGTCGAAATCATAAAAGGACCACCACTCTGGATCTCCACGGTTAAGAACAATCTCCGCACTAACCAGCTCCACCTGCAAAGACCTTATGTCCATTATGAGCCATAGCTAGTAAATGAATGTAGCAGTTAAACTGAATAAAATTAGATACAATTTTTTGGTCTTGATGCATATTTTTAGTCTTGGATTGGTACATTATATGTTAAACATACCGACTGTTCAAGGGACCGCACATCTCCGGAGCCTGTGACCCGGAAATATCTAGGGTAAATATTGAATACTGCGAAACTCTTTGAAGTACCATTGAAAACTTTAGTCACTTCTGAAGATTTGGGAAGATCCTGCTCCTGTAGGGTTAATTCATACTTCACTGCTTCCTTTCCTTTAGGCCTATCTCTGATAAATTCCCAGGAGAAAGAAATGTCCATGTTCCACCTAAGGGACTTTATAAATCTGGCCTGCACAATTGGCGGAACAAGCCACAATTTACTTGCATCTGATTGGCAGCAAATTAATTGAATGTCTTTCTCATTGTATGCACTAAGATAACCCTGGGGATCCAAAGTTGTGCGTGCTTCAAGTTTTTCCCAAGATATCTTCTCACACAAAGTAGTCTCAAACAATGTCAACCTTCCACTTGGTGTCTTTATATCAACCCGCGCACTTGCATCTTTGATTGGGTTCGCAATATTTGTTGGGTTACCACTGCTGTACATCTGTTCAGAAAATGTAATTTTAAAGAAAAGGTGCAACTGATAGTTCATTAAATAACTTGCGGAAAAAAATTGCCTCCAATATTATTGTAATCTAGACTTCATAATTGATCTCGAGAAATGCTGGTAAAATTGTGGGTTTCACTCCTAATTTACTGAACACCACTCATAATTTTATAATTATCAATAAATTTTAACTAATAAAAAAGTATGTTTTAGGGGTGAAATTGATGAATCATATAATATTTTAAGCGAATTATAATGGATCGGACAAAAATTCAATCCATCTAATCCATTTAAAACAAAAATTCATCCAATCCATCCATTAATTTTTTTTTCATAAATGGATATCTAATGCATCCATAGAAGTAATGTTTTAAAAATTATTTTTTTATAAATATTTTATTTCTCTTTTTTTTCTTTATAAGTCATTATATATATATATTTTAAATTTACAAGACTTTTTTTAATGTCAATATAGTCTTTTAAAATCTCAATTTAATAAACATCTTATATTGTAATCTAATAAATTTTGAAAAAGTAGTGGATGAATCACTAGTCATCCATAAAATTAAATAGATGGATTGAAACCAATTCATTATTTATTTTTATTGTAATAGATGAATTTCCTTGTGGATAGATCAGATGGATGATGAATAAATGGATTCATTTGTCACCCTTAATATGTTTAGAGGAGTATGTTAAAAAATGCATTATTAGCACCCCATTTGATCTCATAAATGTAAAAATAACATTCAACAGCCTAAAGCTTTCTCTGTAAAGTGACAGAAAGGCATATAAGTAAGATATTTGAAATACGTACAATTGCACTGTGACAGTCAAGAGAGTTTAAAACAGTATTATCTAGGTTTAACAATTCAATACTAAATCACTCCCCAAAAGAGAAAAAGTGCTGGTAGTAGTTCTATTATATGAGCTATCAGGAAACAGCAAACGTTGCAATATAGCTTCACATGATCTTTTTTACTCCAAAGATTCGATTTTCAAGACTTCATATTAGTCTAGCAACAGTACAGCAGATCCATATCCAATTAATTTACTAAGAATTTTTCGAGCTAAAACTCAAGTACAGGACTTGAACACGTCTGTCAAATCTCTCAAAAAGTGATGATAGAAGTGGAACAAACAACCCAACATGAGATATTTCAATTACTTAAGCTAAGCGTACATAGCAGGCATTTAGGCCACCACTAATTAAACTTTAAAGGAAGAGAAGCTGTGCCACTGGTTTTATATATTTCTATTTATCAACTGATCGTATTCATCTAAAAGCTATAAAATAACATTATTTTAGTTCTACGGAAGTAAGTTATGAAAGAAAATTGCTTCTTTAAATTGAAAATATTTTCTTATATTTCTCAATCAAGTGTCCAGACACGTGAAAGATATTTACTTCATCAAGTTTTTCAAACCAAGTCATTGCCAAAATAGTTTATTTATTAGTTCATGAATTGTGTAAAAGGGTTTCAGAATTAGATGAGATTCAAAGTTGTAGTTTTTATTTTAAACCAAAGCAAATATATGGAGTTTTTTGTTCTTACCAGCATTGGAGCCCATATGACACACATTAACACAAAAAATAAACATATCCCATTGCAGAACTTTGTCATTTTTGTTTGCTTTTGTCCTTGTTGGTGGCTGGCCCTATTCAAATCCACATCGCATTTGACAAGAAACAGACTTGCATGAATATCTTCCAACTAGAAAGAAAGTTAAATCGTTAAAATCAGATAAATGGGGAAAGTAATGCACATCGCTTTAGAGTGTTAGTAAGGGAATACAAAGTAACTTAAGAAAATATATATGTAAAATAGTAGTTTCAAATCTAAGTTGTTGAGAGAAAGAGCATTTTCTGGAGAACTAATACATTAATGTTTAAGATGCGCCAGTTGACCAATAGCTTCTAACTTCTCAGTTCAGCTGTATCATAGTGAAAACTATTAATCAAAATCAACTATAATAAGACGTTGCCTTAACTAACAAAATTACTAGATGATGACTATTTACATAATTGGAAAATCTACAAAAGGAAAATGCCGAAGACTCATGACAGAAGAAATTGGAGATGCCATGGAAAATAGGGGAAGTGGTCTAGACACTAACGCTAGCTGAAATGCTTACAAATTTCATGTTGCAAGTTGTGTAAAGTGTAAACAATGATTGCTTACTATTAGAGTATAGGATTTTACTCAAATTATTAAAAATGTATTCTGCTATATTTTCAGTTGTAATTGACTTTGATTTATGTCACTATCATTGTCGGGGTTATGTCTTTTTGTTTCTGTTAGGAAGTGACTTCTCTTGTACTCTTTAGGAGATAGCTTCTGCTGCATTCTTCGCAGTTTAATTAGCTTGCTGTGCCCACTTCAGCATCTATATAAATATAGGTGCTCTCCTCTTTGTAAATCACCAAATATTATTCATTCATCTCTTCAATATGGCATGAGAGCTCGCATTGATCTTTGATCTGTGGCTTCTAATTTTCCTCCTCCTTCCCCTCTACCTCTCTCAAAAATGTCCTCAAACACAATTATGCTCTCTCACTTTATCTCTGAAAAACGACTTCTTGTGGTGTTAACAAATAGAACCAGTAATTAAAGGTCATCTATTACAGAGATATTTGGTAAATCCACAAATTCCTCTAGAGTATCTTTTGCTTGAAGATTGGGATGAAGATGAAGATCGTGTCTCCGAAGCATATCTTGCTTCGGAGCAGCAAGATCAGCTCCTATTATCATGGCTTCCATTGTCCATGTCTCAAGAAATTCTTACGAGAGCCATTGGTTGCAAATTGTCATGGTGGGATAAAATCCATGCTTATTTTCATTCTCATTTGAATGTGAAGGCAAGACAGTTGCACACGGCGCTTAGAAACACTACCCGAGAAAATTGCTCCATCTCTGATTTTCTTCTACGCATTCAAGCACTTATTGATACACTTTCCTCCAATGGAGAAACTGTAACAACGTGAGAGCATCTTGATGTCATTATCGAAGGACTTTTTGAGGATTACAAATCCTTAATTTCCTTCATCAACAGCAAAGTCGAACTTCTATCCATTGATGAAGTCAAAACACTTCTTGCGTGAATTGAAAATTTAGAAAGAAACAAATAGCTTTGGTTAATGTTGCAGAAGCTTCTACCATGGTCAATATTCAACCCCAGGCTGAAACTGCTCAAGAAAAAATTGCTCAAACATCTACTCAAATTCAAAATGATTTTTCTAATAGGACTTTCAATTCATGTAGAGGTAGATCTGGTCATAATAACCATAGCCGTGGTGGACCATCATTTTGAGGAAAATTATGCTCCTCAAATGCCAATGGACTTCTCATATCAACAAACTATGGTACTACAGTGGCATTATCCACCTTGGAATACTTATCACTATCAACAGAATCCTTCACCATCCTCCTTTCCTCACAATCTTAGGGTGATTCATGACAATTCTACTCCATGTGTTCAAGAATAACCAAACAAGAAGTCCTATATTAACATGCAAATAGCATAACTCATAAGTAGTAACAGCAAAAGTATTATCAAGAATAAACATGAGACTATTAATAACATACCTTCAGCCAGTCATACATGGTCAAAGATGTTGTTGTGCAAGACCAATCTAGCACACATCTCAACTCATAAAGGAACGGTATAGCGCGATATAGACGAAAACCCAAAACATTAATTCGAGAAACACTACTGGTCAAAAACTGCCTATACAAAGTGCTCTTATGTGGAATCCCAAAATGAAGTTGCATGGCTTGCAAAACCAGAGAAATTGCTTTTGTGAGATAAATGGCACGGAGTGCTAGTCTTCCAGAATATCTGTGCAAAGGATCCATGTCCCAGGCATGTTTTGTGATTGAATATGTAAAGAGAACAAGGTTGAATAAATAGAAAATAACTTTTCCTATTGCAAATGAGCAGAGGTATATAACTCGATCAAGCACGATCAAGAAAAAGACAACCTGCAAGATAAACTTATTATGTTGATTAGTTAGGTAGACAAACAAATTTATTGTCAACATGACATTCAAAAAGTACACTTGCATTAGTCGAATGGATCAAACTGTGGAACATAAAAAACACGTCATCTTTAAAAAGATAAAATGAATTTGACATGAAGGCAGTTAACAAGGTTCTGAAAAAATATGAATGCAAGTCACTTGAACCCTTGAAAGAAAAAAACTTGGTATAGTGGCTCGCCTGTACTTGTACATTAACTTCACCTGATATGAATTAGCGATATGTATTTATTTCTCTAGAAAAACACCACAGCATGACAAAGGGTCTCTATATTACCTACATGTACACTATAATCAACCTACACACTTCTCTCTACATCTCTAGTGTAACTCTATTATAGGTAAAAATTTATTGAAAACTATAAAATCTACAGATTGAATTGTTAAATATTAAGTGCAGTCCACTAAAATTTATCATTTTCAATCAAGTTCTGCCAATAGTAGAGAATGTGTTTAAAAGAGAGTGCAAAAACTGTGTTGCTAACATTTCTCTTCAAAAGAAAATTCCCTAAAGGTGTCCCATTTATTAGGCTAATCTAATACATAGAAAACGGGAAACATGGGAACAGAATCTGTCCTGATAATTACAAAAACAATCTCAATATTTACAAGAAAATATTTTATCCTGAATTAGTGCCTATTTACATTTTACAGCAGCAATATTAATAAAGCATGAAGGAAGAAGAAGCTTCTCAACAAGTAGTAGAACTTTGAGTTAATGATTTCGTCAATGCATTCTAACATAAATGGTAAGTCACATTAAGCAAATTGATCAGCCACCAACAATTCAATATTGGGTTTATAATAATATCCGTAATAGAAGTAAAATAAGCCATCTATATCACACATTCAAAGAAAAAGAAACTTGCCATGAGAACTAATACAAAATCTTCTGGGAACTGATCTTCAAGCTGATAGACTTCAAGAAATTTACCGTTAGCTTTCATAACTGATTCATAAAAAATGGAAATTAAGAAGAAAACAGCCAAATCAGCCCCAAAAATGTAGGCATACAGATCAATTTCCTTTTTTCCACCACCGATGACAGAAAGTATACGATATGGAAACCCTATTTGTTTAAAAATACCATCATCTTGAGCTTTTCGAATCTCATTGGATACATCTCCTGCTGGAGTTAAGGAACTGTACCATTCTTCAGCAGCAAATTCAATTGGAGGTGAAGCATATAACACCTCAAAAACAACAAGACACAAGTTTTCATTTTCTTCACCTTTTTCAATGCTCTGTACATGAACCCTACTTGCTGAGTGCAACTTAAAAAGGTTCTCCTCTTTGCATCTCCTCTTATGCAAGATATACAGCAACTTATTTATTCTTGATTCAATTTTCTTTGGCTGAATTCCCTCCTCTGGCCATGAGTTAACTTCCATAGACAGCTGAACAAAGTAAGGGGGGGTTTCTGTATCGCATGTCAATGATTTCCAGTACCTACAGAGGCTTCTGATCAACCGTTTCAGTATATTTTTCAGTGGTATAAATAATTTCAGTAATCTCTCTTGGTAGGTGAAGCACTTTACATCCTCTGTGTAGCTCTGATTTCTTCTCTTGCAAAAGCAGAGATCTGCAGTAATTGTCCAACCCCCATCCTTCACAGTTATGGAGGTTTGCACGAGAGTGAATATGTATACCAGGAAAAATGGTAAGTTGCTTGTCACAAAAGATGATGTTATTTCCTTTGCAGGAAATCCTAATTTTTGAAGCAAGTTCACATGGAATTCGAACTCAGTGTGTTGAATGATGATTTGATACAAATACTGAAGCAAAATGCACACCTCAGTATAGATTAACATAATAACCCAAAATATGTAAGTGGGACCAGTATTTTGACAGAGAGCATATAGGAAGAGCACCGCTAGATAGACCACAGAAAGCAAACTGAAGTTCCATAGATATATTAGAATAAAGCAGCAATAGCAAACAACATCATTATTCGACCTCATTCGGGACCACATGTAATGTAAAATAATTCCAATTTGGAGGCAAGCAGTGTCAGGCAAAGTATGCTCATGAATAGTGTGTGTGGAAATTGTAGGTTCCAGAGGTTCAGCACCCATATTCTGATTCTCAATTTCAATATCATAGTACACCTCATCCTCTGAAGAATCTTCAGTTGATTCTAGTTCTCCATGTTCTATCTTCAGATAATTCATTAGGTTGTTAACTGCCATATTTCCAAGCGACTGCACCTGGGATACTCCTTTCCCAATGAAGTGTATAGCTGAAACTAAAGCATTTTTCCTAACTGGAAGTTTACAACGATCACTTATTCCTAAAATATCATTGTTTTTAGTTCTTTCCTTTACCTCAACAATTTCATCCGTAGAATCCCTTGGATGCTTCCCATATTGTGGTCTCACCGGACTTTTAGGTTTTTCACTCAATAGACATTGATTCCCATCAATTGGGCCTATTGACTCAGAAGTTATATCAAGATCTTGCTTCCTGAATCCAGTTTCCTCATGAAAATCTAGGGAAGAGTTTTCTCTCTCTCTTATGCCATGAATTTCGAGAGAAGCATTGCTACAATTTGCTTCACTGCTCATATTATAAAGCTGGTTTTGAAGGTTTAGCATCTCTGATTTCATCTTTTCTACCTGCAAGCTTCGAAGATGCTTTAACTCTGCAGCTTTACGTATGTGCCGCAACTGAGCTGTCTTCCAAGCGGCTTTCTTCTCTTGTTGTCTAAGTATAGCACCAATCTGCTCTTTCTCGAGATATTTTGGAACATAATCGAACTCTGGAAATGAAAACATGTATGACTGCAGTGCTACCAATACAAATATTATGATTTCTACAAATGCCGATCTTGATGTAATTCGAAATCCGTAATCATACTTGTGGAATCCTACCAATTCGTTAATGGATTCTATAGAACCATGTTTGATATCACTATGGTCTCCAACAAAAGGAGATTGATATGCAAGAGACATGACAATAACGACAAAATTGTACATCCTCAAGAATCTAAAAATTTTATTTCCCTGCTTCAATATTTTTAGCCTCATCCGGAAGAAAAGCAGAGCAAAACCAAGATAACCAAGATGAAGAATATCATATTCAAGGGTTCCTGTAATCAAAATCAATGAAAGAACAAAATCTAGCAAGTGACAGTAACCATAAAGCCTTAGGTGGTCGAGAAATGTCCAGTATCCTTTTGTTTCAAATGAAAGATCACTTAGTACAGAAGCAGATTTCCATTGAGAGAGTATTTTTCGATACATCTCTAATCCAGTGAGACAGGACGAATGGTCAGCACGGAATTTGAAACATGAAAACATGAAAACCCCATAATACCAAATAAGCATGCGAGGATCATCAACAATAATTCCTGCAGGTAAAGGCATTTAACATAAATTATTTGGGAGAAGTAATTACACAAGAATATTACAATTAATGAAGTTCTAAATTATCACTAATAAGCTCCTCTAATGTCAAAATCAGGCTTCAGGTTTGTCATACGCAATGCACATTACCCATAAGATTTTTAAATACCTGATACCAACTATCTGAATGCACACAGAGACATGAATTAATGGAGAGATACCTAGCCAACATTTTTTGCAGTAGCTAAAATATATATCTGATACTCTCCAACAGTCATGGCATGGTACTTGTTCTTCAATTTGTTGGTTGGTAAAAGTGAAGCGCATCCATGTAGCCAAGTATTCAATAACGATGATGGAAGCAAATAAAAAAACAAAAACAGGCCATAGTTTTTTAATGAGTAGCCGATGAAGAAGAACACAAGCAGCAAGTGATGCTATATAGAGCAAGGAGATGGCATTCAACACAGCAAAACTGGCAAGAAGCAAAGCAATCATGTTTATTTCAAGACCAAATAAATTGAACATATTCTCTATCCAGAACTTCAAAGATACTTTTAAAACAGTCTTCTGCATCTCCATCCTTTCTTTTCTCAAGAAAAGAATCCGCTTTCTATTCCACTTTAAGCTATCCTTGGAACTCTCCCAAAAACGAAAGTATCGAAAATTTTTGGCACTGTCTCTTTCGAGCCCTGAATCTGGCCCTAGGGATAATGCAGAATTAACAGTTGGCCATGAAAAACTTCTTCCACCTCTTTTAAATGTTGGTGAAGTGGAATTTTCCCATTGTTTGCTTTGTGGGGTACAGGAAGCAGTTTCATTAGAAACTTCTATTAGATTAAACAGAGGACAAGGCTCATTCCATTTTCCTCCATTTCCATAAACATGCCTTTTCTCCAACCAATTAAAGACATTGTATTGAAGTATACAGGCCACAATAACCACAACCTTTCCCCTTAAACCCGACTCTAAACCTTTAAAACCAGGCTTATACAGCTGTAAACCCATGAATAAGGATAATTGGAAGTTCTCTTGACCAGGGAACATCTCAGCCTGATCTCCCCACATCTGGAAAAGATATTCAACCATTATAAGAAGTCCTGAATAAATTAAAAATACTTTTGAAGGGATCTGAGACAACTTTGGTAATCTAGAAAAATTAATTAGACCAAGGAGATACAGGAAACCAAATGCACTTATAGGTGATAAGGATGCATAAAATAGGGCAAGAGATAGTATTTTCTCAGCATGTCGAACCAAAAGACGTAAGGAAAAAGCATAAGGTCCTATTTCTGGTGCATCATAGTTACTTGATCTAGATCTTTTGCTCTGCCTCCTTTCATAGCTATATAACTGCATCACTATCAATACAGCCAAAGACCCCCAAATGTTTTGTAACATTGAAGCTGCCGGATTATAACCAATTGCAGTTTGAAGATCAACGATCCTGGGAAACCACATCTCAAAGCTGGAAAATACACCAACGCTGTAAATGGAGATAAACACCACGATAGCATACACTTTCATAGGATACCAAAGATGCTTTTTTGTTTTCCCTGCAAGTTGTCTTCCACTTATCCACAGTAGAAGAAAGAATAAGTAACCAAACGAAGCATAGTTGGGCGTGCAAAGGTATACACTGAAGAGAATTGTTAGGAAGGCAATGTATTTGCCACATAATCGATAAACAGAAAGGAAATTCTGTCTTATCACCTCCAAATATGATATAGTCTTCCTCTCTGAATAATTAAATAGAATGGTTAGAATATTGTTGACATCAAGTAAACACTTATGGCTAAACATGTAGCTTAAATCAATCAAGTAACAGAAGTATAAATATTAATCTTAAGATAACAAGGAATTTATTTGGCAAAATAAAATGAGATGGAAATCCTCAAGCATAGACAATATTTAGTGTAGTTGTACCATGAGTTCCCTGGCTCTCGCTAGATCTTGGACTATAACCTAATAAACGAACAGGTTTGATCAAGCAAACTCTCAAGATGTTAAAGCCAACTGGAGGGCAAGATGTTTGCCGTACAATAGCTGAAAATGAAAGGAGTGTTTGCAGCCCATGATTGTGAATTGCACAGAAGCAGGCAAGAATCGATATTTTGAAAAAATCCACTGAATGGATATGATTAAGCAGGCCTGCAACATTCACAAATCTCAAGAATGACATAATTAAAGGCAATGGAAATTTTACATTTGCACCACAAAAGTGGAAACACGTGTCTAATAGGTATAACAAAAGTTTTTTTTTTTGGCAGTACATAGAAATAACAAAAGTTTATTCTTACATTAAAAATATTACCTAATTGTGACAGAATCTGAAAAGCATATGATCCCTCCTGATCCAAAGTTTTGGATATCAAATCAAGTTGAAGAATGAATTGAAGTGCAAACTGTGCCTCACATAGAAGGATAATAGCTTGGCGTAATTTACAATTGAATGCATTGCTTAAAAGATAAATTATAAAGAAAATCACTGCATACAGAAAGAGTGTGCAGTTAGTAAATTAGGAACACTGCTACCCTCTCAAACTACTCTAAAGACAACGTTTCAAACAACACTTCAATTTGATCAACAATCAGTGCAATACTCGCCACTGTATAAATAAGGAAATTGCCACATCATTATTGTTATTCATATTTTTCACGTGAGTTATTTAAACAGGTGGAACCTTGTGGTTCCTCTGGTATTGTAAAACTCTTTAAATTAATGGTGGATCAAAAGTTTATTCCTATAAAAATTGGTAAAGAGTGGACCAACATTTATGCTTACAGATAATACAAATAAGAATAATTACTTATTACCAGTATATTAATTAGTAACAACCAAATATCTAAATAACAAAGGAGGAAACTGTTGGCCAATGAACTTACTATAAACAGCATGAATGAGACCAGATCTTATTGCAATAAGAAATATCAATATCAGCACTACAACATCTGAGCACTTGCGTAGTCCCCATGCTATTGTAGCCACAACTAATAATGTTGTCCCTTCTTCCTCTAGAAACAACAAAAACAAATAAACAATAAGACATTTTATCCCAAGAACAGCAAAAGGTATTTTATAAGCATCGAACTTACTAGCATATGCCACAATATTTGAGCAGCCAATAAAGTTAAATTGGATTTGGAAGAATGCAAAAAAGACATTTAAGAAACATTCTTTTAATTTCTTCAACTATATAATAATTCTATCAAAATTATATTTTCAAAAAGATAAATGAAAGATTAATAGCATGAGATATTTCACATTTCCAGAAAACTGGAATGCCTATTTAACACATTGTCCTGTTAGTGATGTTTTCAAATGGCAAAAATTAGCAGCACAAGTTGTTATGCCTAAGGCTTTACATGGACAAAGTGACATGATAAAGATGAGAACTATCTGGGACAAAACACATTTTTCTAAAGGTGTGAAACATATAAATAAAACAAGATGCTACTATAGTATTATTTCAGAGAAATGTTTGTTGAACAAAATAAATTATTTAAGATTCAAAAAATGTGCCGACCATGCTTTGTTTCTGATTCATTTGTTAAACCAATATTCTGAAAGAGACAGCAGACGTCAAATTTAAATGTGTTTCATAAATGGATCTCATCCACCCAAACTAAGTAAAACTTTATTAAACTTTTGCCAAAACAACCAAATGTTATGCACCTAAATTAGCACATATTTCATATCATTGTAGAAAATAAGTGAATTTTACTATGTAACTCATGATCGTCAAATGTTTCATTCCAACTCCTAACAAGGAGTATATGGTTAAGAACTGGAAAATCATAAGTTCACACAGTAGTAAGCTTTGTCTATTCAAACCATCTAGTTCTGTCACCTTCCATGACAGATTCATCAGCTGTTAACTGTCCCTGGTCGGTGACGCACAATAATACCGAACTGTTCACGAGATTACACATAGCAACAAGAAAACCAAGACCAAATTGAGCAAGCAAATAGTATCCTGGGATAGGGTAATGCCACAAGCCAATAGTTTCCCATATCTCCATATCCTGCAATTGAGTAATAGAGAATGTTAATGTTTCTTTAGTATAAATTTAAGATCTCCCAGAGCCACTAGCAATGTGTACCTTCCATGATTTGTTATTGGAGAAAGTAAACAATACATTGAAGATATATGTGCTAGCTGCCCAAAACAGAATGAAAACAAGGAGCATGCCATTTAAGTGGTGTAACCGAAACATGGAAGGGAAGGCATACAAGATGTACCCCACATAAGCAAGAAATCCAAATGAGCACAAACTTGCAAAATGAAAACTCCATAATGATAGAGCCAGCAAGGAAATCTGCAAAATGTACCCATTAATGCAATTAATCAACTCATAAAAGTTCTGTTGTGTCATGGGTCAAAACAAAGGAGAGAGGGAATCGCAAGTTGATCTAAGATACCAACAAGAGTTTTGCATGTTTCAAGTGTTTATATCTGTTACATGTTAAACATGGAAATATCTATTACTTTAATCAAGGATGTACTTACTACAATTAGGGATTTAATTTATTCCTATGTATTTATGATTGATTTTGTTGTACCCTCATGCGAGATTTTAAATAAGAAGCATGTGTAGACTAATATCACACAATTTTAAGTTCCCATGGCCTTCTCCTGAGTTGGATCATGCATGAAATCACTTCTCAATGGGATCATAGTGGGATCAGACAATTTTCCCAATTCTGTGAGTTGAGTTTTCCGAGCCAGGTTGTGCAAACAGATTGACCTAAATGCATTTTTTGCACTAAGTGCATTTTTTGTGCAAACATGACTGATCCAAAACATCTCTCCCTCAAGTTTCAACCATCTCTGTTGTGAATCCTTCGTGATTCTTCTTATTTTGTTGGGCTTGGTTGGTGCTGCTGCTGTCTTTGTATTGTAAGAACTGAAAATGGCTTCAATGGGTGCTTGGCAATATGATAACGGGGCAGGAGCGGGCAGTTCAAGTTATGTTTGAATTTGAAATTTAGCAAACCTTATTTAATATGTATGTGACTAATATGACTTGATTTAAATGGTATGGACTTATGGTTATGAAATTTCAAAGTTTGCTTTAATGTTGTAGTTTATAGGTTCTTTTCATTTTCTATGTATGGGTGTATATATATATATATATATATATATATATATAAATGCATAATTTTACATTTCTGTAGGATCTTACTAACCTTGTTACGGTCCTATGTTTTACGATCTTGACACCCCCATCTAATTCTAAGTAGGATCTCGATCTTGACAACATTGGTGTGGACATACAACACACAACATTCAAATATACTCCAACTAAATGATATTAGTAGTTTAGTTTTTATTTTTGCGCTTCTTTTTGCCACAAGTGGTTCTCATTCACAAGTGAACAGTACCCACAACCACTATGTGTCCCCCTTTCGTTGCAACCAACAACCTCTAGCCACCATCCCACTGTCAACCCATCCCAAATCGTCACTGCACACATCCTCATATCACGTACCACCTCTCTCCAACATGTGTCTTATGTGTTAGCACCAAATTGACGTGTGAGCCATTTTCAAACAAGACCATCATTTGATGACTCCTCCATTGCTTTCTCACTTCAGTGACAACCTTCTCCAGCCTTTTTTTTGGCTTGATTCATTGTGGCCTCTGACTATGCCTCTTTGTATTTTGATGCTACATTGACATGTACCACTATCCCCCTAATTAGGTGTGAAAGTCACTTGACCAAACAAATCAAAGTTATTCTTAAAAAGGATTGAGTCCGTTGGATAAAAATCATTGTCTCTTTGTGCATTGTTCACTAGTTTTCTATTTGTTGGAGATCCCACATCATCTAGGAATAAGACCATAATAGTGTATATAAGTGAAGAACAATCCTCACCTTACAAGTCGATTTGGAAAAGTTGAGTTAGCCACAAAACCTACATTCTAAGATGGTATTAGAGCAAATTAGAGCCTAAATCCTAGTGATTAGAGATTGCTAGAGGGCTTATCAGGCTAGTCGCTATCGGGTCGTTATTGAACCACCTGTAGATGTCCAGTCCTGTAAACTTCGCGCTCGAGATGTTCAATCCTCAGCATGAGGGGGTGTATAAGAGATCCCACATCGTCTATGAATAAGGTTATAATAATGTATATCAGTGGAAATAATCCTCACCTTACAAGCCAGTTTTGTAAGGTTGAGTTAAGTTCAAAACCTAAATTCTAAGACAATTGCACCCAAACTCCACGTACAATATCAAGCCTTTACAACTTGATATGATGTCTAGACAAAAGCCAAGAAAGTTTAGTCAAACAATGTTCATAGCCTCTACAATGTGATTTTTAACATGATTTCGATAAAGTCAGAAAACATGGAAGTGCAAACCTATCTTAGTAAGTTTCATCATTTAGTTGTTGATTTTGAAACCCTGATGCCATTTACTAGGGATGCAACAACTCATGTTGAACAACACAACAATTTTTTCATGGTTCTTGCACTTGTCAGTCTCCCACCTGAACATATTTTTGTTCATAATCAAATATTATTGAGATCCCATGTTCCCTCCTGTTTAGCAAATAACTACTACGTCTCTCCACTCCACACGCTTTTGGTCACTCTGCCACCCTTTCTAATAATTCCTCCACTTTTGTCTCCCATTCTTCTCATCATGGTGGACAAAGTGGAGGTCATGGTGACCAACATCATGGCACTGGCTGCACTTTTTGCAATTTCTATGGCCATACTGAGGCAAAAGGTCACCCCAAGACTAAACAACAGTTGAAGCACGCTAATATGGTTCAAGTCAATTCCTTTGGCACCACTGAGGATTTTATTACTATTGCCACCCAATGTAATGATTTTCTCCAATTCAAGGCAGCCCAACACCCCACCTCACTTATCATTGTCATTGACTCTAATACCTTTAATCATATGACCGGCAACAAATTCCTTTTCTCTCGTTTAAATTACTTGGATCCTTTTCCTTTTGTTACTTTGGAAAATGGCTCTCAAATAAAAGTTCAAGGTGTTAGACATACACATCCTCTTTCTAACCTTCCTCTAGATTTTGTATTTTATGTACTTAGTTTTCCTTTTAATTTAATACCAATTAGCAAACTCACTTGCAATCTTGATTACTCTATCCTGTTTGTTAATAACTTTGTTCTTTGCCAACTAAACAAATGATTAATGTAGGACATGACGAGGATTATATCAACTTTTGTTGTTGATTGTTTGTCTCTATTGCCTCCCAAGCTCTTGCACATCAATGCTTAGGACCCAATGAGAGTATGTGTTGAGTCATTTGGATGGAAAGGTTGAGGTTGGCTAAGATACCAGGTGTTGGGTTTTGTGGCACCTTGGGATTTGCTGGAGGGGTTTGTGTATTATCATATCTAACTTGGGTGGTTTTCATTGATTAGGACTATGAAGATTTGGGCTTTTTTTATAGCCAGAGAATAACCTAAGCTCGTGATACCATATAAGCAAAAGTTTTAGGCATAATTTATGCGTATATTTACTCTACAATCAAGGTACATTATAAAAGTTAGAAGGGCTAAAATTTAGGAGATAAAAAAGGAATAAGTCACTAAACATTAGCTACTAATCAGATCCTTTAAAAAAGAAAAGAATATTCTTCTAATATTTACAATTATTTAGCTAATCAGTCCATGATTTTTTGGATTAACCTAATCCCTTGGTTTTAAAATCATTCAAACGGAATCCAACACGTGTCATACCAAACATTAGACACAAATTTTGCACATGATTTTAGCAATTAAACAATCTACTAATTAAAAAAATCAACAAAAAGGAATATGGCAGGGGTACCGGAAAACCATATGCTAAAAAGTTAATACTAAATGATTGAGAAACTGCTCCTCGCAAGAAGAAATTAATATGCCTCAGATCAGACCTGTATAAAAAACATAAAAACAAGAGATAAAAGATATAAAATATTGTTAGAGTTCCCACAAAAATGAAAATCAAAAGGTTCAAGAATCAACAAATTTGATGGGAAAACCTTATGCATACGTTTAATGGGATATTAGATTTATAAATGATCATAAAACTAGTCAAAAGTTGGAATCATGAGTTTGAAACCAAGATGGAAAGGGAATGGGTTTGACTTTATAAGATAACAACAAAAAAAAAAATTTATTATTTTGGCAAATATGCTCAATTCAAGCATCTTGTAACATGAGAAACTTCTTAGGCAAGTGAGAGGAGAAATTTAATTATTTTTCATCTAAAGTATATTTAAAATATTCTACCACATACATGCAAAGAGGAAAAGAAAAGAGAGAGAGAGAGAGAGAGAAGTAATCCAATGAAAGAAGTACCTTCTACAAATTTAAATATCACACTAACTACATTCACGTCCCACCCATTTGCCAAACTTAAGCCATCTTACTAATATTGCCGGTATCATCTTCATATACAAACTCAAGTGAACTATTAGATGATGAAGGGAAAAGAACAATCATATTGAGGCATTAAACCAAAGCATCATCATTGCAAATTAGCAATAAGTTCAAAACTTCTATTTTCAAATGGTAAGGAAATAAAAAGAAAAGAAGGAAGCTGCCTAGTTTTACCTAGATTCTTGAACAAAATGAGAATGGTTTTTGGGAAGAAGCTGCTCGGTCAAGTCACTTTCTCTAGTTGATGTGATGATTTCCATTTCAGCTAGCTCACTTCTGATCCAAGATAGCTAGAACAAGGGACGGATGAAGATTGATGATCCAAACTAAAGAAAATATTATAACAGATAGCAAAAATCTAGACCAACTAATTGTATGAGTGCATTGTCTCAATAAAGTGTCATATAAAGCCACAATTGGTAAATAGATTTTACAACAAGTGATAAAAGCATTCCTCTCCAATCAATAATTGTGCAAAACTCATGAAAGCAATCCGTAATCAAGTTTTAAGTTTATCTACATCAAAGGAAACATAATTGTATTGGGTGAATAGGCTAGATTTTTCTTTATTATCTTATAAGAAAAACTGGTATTCAATCCCAAGGAGAACAACACAAGGTTTATGGTCTAGGGGAAGCAAATGCAAAGTGCAAATATGTTACAAAAAATTTCATTAGCTTGTGATTTCACAATAACCAACACGTGTAGAAAAAGAGAGAAGCATTTTCTCAAATTGAGTTCTTTTTTACAAGAAAATTGGATAGAAAACTTTCATGAATTGCAAAGAGATACTTGGAGAGAGCTTGACAACCCAAAGTGATAAAATCCCCCCTCTCAATCCTTTTTTTTAATTTATAGGCAACAAGCTTACTCAAACTATCTCACATAACTAACTAATTCAATAATATAAATAATAAATGGCTAACTACCTAATTTGTTGTAACAAAATATGTAATAAATAGGAGTATCTTAGGAGATTTGATATTATTTTATAATCTTTCCTTATTTCCTTTATTTTTTTCATAATTATTTGTTTTATGGACAAATGTATCTCTATAATAGGGTAAAAGAAAAATGTAATCTGTGTGAAACAAATTAATAGAATCCTTAATTTCAACTTGGTATCAGAGCTCCTGATCTTGGGAGCTTTGTTTCTGCTTCCCCCCACTTTCAACCGAAACGGGATATATGAGCAAGCCCTATGACTCATGTACATTGTCCATGAAGGGTAAGAGTACTTTCAATATTTTTGGCTTCGTTTCTCTGGGAGTTTGGATTCTTGATTTTGGAGCGACAGATATCATGACCCCTTTACTTCACTTTTTGCATCATATTCCAAAACAAATGCAAACAATTCATTACAATTGTTTATGGAAATAATGTGCCCATTATTGGTTGTGACAATGTTCAACTTGAGCCCTCTATTTTCTTACATTATGTCTTACATGTCTCGAAATTAGCTAACAGTCTTATTTATGTACAAAAGCTTACTATAGACTTGAATTGTTTAGTAACATTTTTTCATTCTCCTTGTTCCTTTCAGGACCTGGCCATAGAGAAAACGTTCTTAATTACTAAAGAACAAGGTGGGTTGTGCTTTCTACAGCAAAAAAGGAATGGTGACAAGAACATGGAGACAACCTTAAGCCACTATGTGAAGACCTATACTTAGGTCACTTCTCAAATATGAATTTAACATAAGAGACTTGGGCATCCTCCATTTGGTCTTATTAAATCTTTGTTTCCATGAAAATGATTCCTTTGTCTATCCTCGGCTTCAAGGGGAGAAAATTTTAAAACCCGACCTGTAGAGGGGGTTATTGTCTTAAATGAAAGAGGGGGTCAAATAGAGAAGGGTTCATCAAGTTTTTCCATAAAACTTGTGAAGAAGGGTTTACCAAGTTTCGCCTGAAAACTTGTGAGAAAGTGATTTCCAAGTTTCACCCATAAAACTTGTAAGAAAGGGGTTTTCAAGTTTTACTCATAAAACTTGTGAAGAGGAATTTTCAAGTTTCATCTACAAAACTTAAAGGGCGGAGTTTCAGATAAATATGTAATACATTTTAAGATAATGAACATCATTGCAGATGTAAGCATGAAAGGCCGAATCACGTTAAATAATAAAAAAAAAAGGAAACTAAAGTATTTCTTACGAATTGAAGTTGTTTATTTCACGAAAGGCATATTTATCTCTTAAAGAAAATATGTCCTTGATCTTCTTAACGAAACGCGAAAGTTGGGATGCAAAACCTCAAGAGTTCCAATTGAATAGAATCACAAAATTGGAAGTGAAGAAAATCCTCCAGTGGAAAAGTCTTGATATCAGAAATTGGTAGGAAAACTAATTTACCTAACATACACTAGACCAGACATTGCTTATGCTATGAGTATAGTTAGTAAGTTCATGCATGACCCTTGGGAAAGGCATATGCAGACAATTGATAGGACCCTTCAGTACTTGAAGTCAAGTCCAAGGAAGGGATTACTATTCAAAAGAGGAGATACCATGTCTTTAGAGATTTTTACTAATGCAAGTCAATCACAGATAGGAGATATACTTCTGGATAATGCATGTTCTTGGGGGGAATTTGGTGACTTGGCACAAGGCATATGTGAAGGGCTATGGATGAAGATTATTCTTAATGACCATAGAATTAAAATAGAGCTACCTATGAAGCTGTTTTGTGACAACAAGTCAACCATCAACATTGCTCAAAATCTAATTCAACATGACAAGACCAAACATATTGAGATAGACAGACACTTCATCAAAGAGAAGTTAGACAATGGTCTTATTGTTATAGCTCACATCCGACATCCCTACAAGACAACAAGTGGCATATGTACTTACTAAGGGACTTCCTGCTAGTAGATTTTAAGAGCTGATAGGAAAGTTAGGAATGATTGATATTCATTTACCAACTTGAGGGAGAGTGTTGTAAATAGGAGTATCTAAGGAGATTTGATATAATTTAATAATATTTCATCATTTCCTTTATTTTTTTTTGTTTATTTTCATAGTTACCTGTTCTAGGGACAAATGTATCTCTATAATAGGGTAAGAGAAGAATGTAATAAGTGCGAAACAAATTAATAGAATCCTCTCTTTCAACTAACTACTAATGGGGTTATGTAACACTTTGTTAGATCCATGTAGCTAATTTCACCTAGTGGGGAAAGGCTGGTTGTTGTTGTTGGTTGATCTAAATACAAGGGATCTAGAATTCAAGCCACTAAATGGTGGTTATTTTAGATTATTTTTCTAAAATGAGGTCATGGCCAACTCAAAAAATTGATAAACCATACTAGAGGAACAATACCAGCCAACTTTGTTAATTAGAAAGAAAGCAAGAGGAATGATCAATCATAAATGACACTTATACTACTGTAAAATTTTAGATGAGCGAGTATAAAATCCCATATGAAAAAAGCTAATTTTGCAACCACTTGGTCTATGTGAGATTTAGAAATTCCATTGACTGGTAAATCTATGAAAACCACACATATTTTAATCCTGAAAAGCACAAGAATCAACATGCTCATTTATATAGTCAACCGACCACCACCCCACGCACACATAATGATAATTGATAAATAACTATCTTATTATATGTTACGTGTTGACTCTATTTCAACAATATAACTGTTTCGGGCACATTTAGTATTCTTACCATAATGTAGAAAAGTAGAAGTGAAAGACCAGAACAGACTTCTAACCATTCTGACTTTGTAGAAAGTTTGAACAGCCCAAAGTGGTAAAAAATCCACCTAAAGGTCTCGGGGAATTCAATTGGAAGTTGATATATGTACAACAAAATGATATTTAAGCCAGCATAGAATAAAAGATATCTCCACCACCTACAAATTCATAAAAAATAGAATTGGTGAACTAATTAAGTTCAAACTTAATGGCATGATCATAAGTCTTGCTTGGGAAGGGGGAGCTTACCGAAAGATACCTAAATAATAGCTGGTCCATGACCAATCAACAAGTCCTATACAGCTACAAATGAAAAAAGGCAAAGAAACCCACGATACATGACTAATCCCAACAATTAATTGTACAGCAGGCAACAATAAGCAGCACAGACCCTTGAGATGAGATCCTGCAATCCAAAAATCAATATTCATCTATAATTATTACACACATGGAGATAAGGAAATCAGTTCGTTTTTTTATTCAGCTGTTCACAATTTTATTTGCTAACAACATAATGCAACTAAATGAGTTCTTTAAAAAAAAAGTTTTCCTTTTAATTGAATGGAAAGCAATGATTGAAATCCTAAAGTTCCTAACGACTTGACTATTAAGATTATGTACATGTTAAACTTGAGTGAGCACACTGAATAATGTATTTATTACTAGAAAAAAAAATTCTGGTTTTTAGGCCATAAATACAGTACAAGATATAGACAACACAGGGTTTCCCCCAACAAGGAGTATCCCCCTTCTCTATTCACCAATTAGGAATTAATACACCAAGATACACAGTCACACCATTCTATTACTGCCTAAAAATAACTGCACATAGACAGAAACTATACAAAAAGAATAATAATCTTAGATCCATAACTACCCTAAGAACTGCCTAAAGGCACAATTACTACACAAACAGTAATAATTCGGGGGAAGTAGATCTAAGTATGCTCTTAGTCCCTCTCACAAACTTCCATGTTCCATGGCCTATCACCATGATGTCAAGAAAAAAGCCATCCTAAGAGTCTTAGAAAGGTTTTTAATATTGTCTCTACTATGACAACTTTTGGTAATATATAAAAATAAACTTTGTTGGAGAGAAAAAATCAAATTCAAAAAGGGGTAGGTTAAATCATCCTTGAAAAGTGAACATAGGAAAAGAAGACAAGAATAGAAACAAACTCGAAACAATGAAGAATGCAAAAAGCCCCTCTTATATCAATAATGGTGTAAGAATAATCTTCTCAAGTATATCTCTGTTGTAATACCTTTATTTTTCTGCCTCTTAATGTTTCAGTTTTCTGTTGTAACTGTCTCTGTCAGTTATAACTGTCACTGTCAGACGGTTATAATTGACACCCTACTTGAGATGAGCCTCTGCATTATATATAGGGGATGTTAGCAGAAGCTCATTAGTCTTTTGTACATTTTCATCTCTTCAATACAATTTACATTTTCAGAAATCTCTTCAAATTCAATAAGTGGTAACTTGTTTTAAACAAGCATGAGCAAAGCACTAGAGAAAAGCAATAAACACAACCCTATTCCAAAGCAAAAGTAAGGGTAAAGAGAAGATTTTTTGGCAAACCTATCAGCAGAACAGAAGAACATAGATGCCCAGAATGAAAATCTCTCCATGCATCGTGACCAAAACCATTTCCATAGATTTCAATTATAGAAAGAAAGGTTGCTAATACTTGTGTCACCAAAAAGTACTCTCTCGGCAAAGTCCTCCAAGACTGCACTCTGCAAACCATTTCATACAGTAATTGCAGTGTATTCTGAATGGCAATTCGCTGAAGAGAAAACCTCTATAATATAGAAAAAGCAAAACCAAAAGACAGAGAAAGTTCAAGTACCTTACAAATCCAATTAGCTGAGCCCACTGAGCATCAGCAATATTCCACCGATGCCCTTCAACGGCCAAAACAATATGAAATACAGCATGTGAGAGTACTGTCAGAGAGGATAATATTAGCACAGACCACGATATTAAAGATTGTTGGACGCGAAATCCTGTTAGCAAAAAAAAAAGGTTCACTACATGAAGAAAAGGATGATAATGATATTAGCACCTAAAATACTAGATAAGCAGTATCAAGTGACGAAATCATAGAAAAAGAACCATAAATTTAGAATATGTATAACCAAACTCCGTATTGGACACCAAAAATTTTAGGTGTAAAGAAAAAGGCAGAAGAAAACAAGTATTTTTGAATACATAACAAGAATCAGAGCAAGCTTCTCACCCTTTCTAGAAGCAGTGTACTGTATGTAAAGGAATGCCATCAAATCAAGCAAAGATATCAAACTCCAGTTAAGCATAGATGCTGCATGAAACATAAAGAGGCATCAGTTGCAATTTTGACAATGAAAACAACTTCGGTTATACAGTGGTCTTCCTGCGATTTTGAGTGATCCCACTCAAACTTAAGACTGAATCACTTCTACAGTTACAGTCACAGACAGTTGTGACTACAAGAGTTGTGTCTACAAGAGTTGTGTGACATTATTGTATGCAAAACCATAAGAACAAACCAGGACCAGCCCAATGTATCTTTAAGCATAAAACATATTTTAAGATGAAGCCTTGTTAATTCAAGAATGTGAGCAAAATTTGATTAAAAATGATCTATTTAATTAAAATTAATGAGTAATTGATTTTTAAGTGAGTGAAAGTAATAAAAAAAATTAAAAAGAATAAATAAAAGCCATACAAAAATGAAAATAGAAACAATTTTTTTGGGAGACCTAAAGCAAATGCTTGCCCAGCCAGAAACAAACAAACATACATACATGCATAGGTGCACAACAGCACAAATAAGATAATATTTTGATGTTTTATTTTTTTTATTTTAAAAAAATCAAACCGCCCAAGCCCCAAACTAATCATACTTAACTTTAACCAGTTCAAAAAACCATGCGATTAGTCAAAATGGATATAGTAGAGAGTAATGCAGTGACAGTGTGAAAGATTTTTGCTCAGTCATTCAAGCACAAACCATCATGTATAACAACAAGTTTGTTGATTATTACTCTAACTACTTAAGATAATTTTTGATTGACCGCAGTACATATAAATTAAACTCAAATGAATAATGTGGATGTTATGGTTGCTCCATTTGCATACAACGTTAGTCACGCCAACTCTTGTGATTCAGATGCTATTATTTAATATATACAATCTACATATAGGTTAAAATATTGGACGCATTTCACATAATAACATACAGAAAAGTGAGAAATGATAGGATCAACAAAATGAAGCGCTAAGAAAGAGAAACGGTGTGGCAAACCTATTAGAAGGAGCATAGGCAACGCGAATCCAGGGATAAACCTCTCCATCACCACAGTCTAAGATTGAAAACTGTTGTGAGTGGCTACATCGTAGAGAGATAGAACGCAATCCACGGGTGAATCCCTGAAAGTTAATGCGGTAAGCATTTTGATAATCGAATGAAAAAACGACGCCGCATCGTGTAGCTGCGGACCAAAGCGGAAACAGAAGAATGATGGAATGGAAATGGATGAAACGAGGAATGAAGATTCGAGAGAGAGAGAGAGAATGGCGTTGAGATTTGAGACGCGATGAACTGTGTTCTACGCTTACGCTTTGTTGATTCGTTCCTGAAATGGAGGCAACTGAATTCGCTTACTCAGAATCAAAGAAGGGTAATATTGGAACTCTGCTTCTCCGAGCCTTGCTATTGCTAACGTAACAGTTAGAGGCAGAAGCAAAAACGGGGCATGCATGCACACAATGCAAAATCACGATCACCCCAAACATTTGAGAGTCAATTGTCCAATGGATCGCCACAACTGAATAGACAATGATTATTGCAATCACCTTACTTTTTGTTTGGTTTATGGAAAAAATAATCAACAAAAAAAAAAAAAAAAGAGTAAAATATACAAGATGAATTTTTAAGTCATTGGGTTGCGTAAAAGCTAAAGGAAAAGAAAAGGTTAAATCGCATCTTATTTCGTGTAATATCAAACTCGCGATGTTATTCCTCTATTTTTAATTATATAATTTTATTCTTTAATTTCAAAAAATTTACAATTTTAGTCTTCTGTTAAATCTACTATTCATTAAAATTGTTATGATATAATAATTAAAATTTAAATTCAATTTTATTATTAATTCTCATTTTTATTTCATAAAAATAATAAAATAAAATAAAAATGTAAAAAAAAAATAAGAATTAAAAATATAAATTAATTTAAATATTATAAAATATTAACTATTAAATTATTCACCTAATGTTATATCATATTTTAATAATTAATGTATAAACATTCAATGAAAGGGTTAAGACGGTTAGCTTTACAAAATTGAAACACTAAAATTATAAAATTAAAAATAAAAAATTACAAATTACAACTTTGATATTACAGTATAACAAAAATACTATTAAGTCAATTCATGCATTTACCTTTCTTACATGCTTTTGTGAAAGAACAAAAAATTATATATATATCCTACTAAATAGTGTTCCAATTTTTCTTAAATAATAATATTTTTTTAGAATTATATTATAATTTCTTATCTTTAATTATACATCATTTTTTTCTAAAAATATATATATTTAAATGTATTTTTAATCTCCTTAAAATAAAAATTTTGATTTTAGTATTTTTAAAAAATAGTGTTTTTCACCTTTATAAATTTTGTAAGCATTATATAAATTATTTTTAACTCTTGTAATTTTAATTTTACAATCACCATACTAATAATGCGTAATATCTTTAAAAAGTTTCATTAGTTCAATATTTTTGGAAAAATTATCAATGATTTAAAATAGAGTAGTGTACAATATAAATTACTTATTATAAATTTAAAATATAAATTATATGTTAAAAATATTTTAATAAAATATTTAATTGAATATTTGTAATATATTTTATATATTAAAAAGTATTCTCTTATCATAAATTTTAGTTATATAAAATGAAAAATTATTATATGGATTACACGAGTCAAAATGTTAGGAAATATGTGTGTGTAATAATGTAATGATACAAATATCTCATATATAAAAAATATAATAATTAAAGATATTTTTTATTTATACTTATTTAATTTTTTTTCTTTAAGAAGAAAGAATATTCAAAGTAGATAAAATAAGTCTTTATCATGTACGTTTATAAATACTAAAATAATAATGTACAAAAAATACTAGAATAATAGGTGTTTTTAAAAGACTTATAATATTGGATAAAATATTCAAGCTAACTATGACAAAAGAAACCATTTTTCTATGTATAATTTATTGTAGATTTTTCTTATGTCTTATCTTTCTTTTAAGAAATTATAAACTTTAAAACCTTCATATTATTATATATAATTAATTAATTTTTACCATAATGAGATTATGGTTCGAATTTGATTGTATTTTTATTTACATTTCAATGTCCTTAATAAATGTCTTTTTTTTTTGTTTTAACTGGCCTGGAGACCCGTATTAATAAGTCTAAAATATTTTCTTTGATAATAAAAATATCATGGGGATGTAGCTCATATGGTAGAGCGCTCGCTTCGCATGCGAGAGGCACGGGGTTCGATTCCCTGCATCTCCATTCTTTTTAAACATTTTCTTATGTCAATCTTTTCTGACTTATTAAAAAAAATATGATATTTTTGGGCCTTTAAAAGAAGAAAGTGTAAAATATTATATCCCTTTTATATTTTTATTGATAAAATAAAATAAAAAATTAATTTAACATCATATTTTATGATTAAATATATTTTTAGTCTTTATAAAATTAATATATTTTTAAAATTTTTAGTTCCTGTAAATTGTTTAGCTTAATTTTAATCCTCAAAAAACTATTGTTATTATTTTCATCCTTTCCGTTAATTTGTATTGTTAGCTTTAACGGACTTTACATAACATGTGACTTGTAATTTAATTTTGATGGAGGTTTCTCTTTTACGATCAACAAAGCCTTTGCCGGAGGCATTCTGCACGATCCTTATGGCTGTTTCATTACCCTTTCTGCAACTGCCTTCCGAAATTGCTCTATAATAAAAATTGAAATCTGGGTCATCGATTATGTTTTTCTTTTTTTGAAGGTCTTATATTTTGTTGTTAAATTTGCTTTAATTAGAGGTTTCAAGAACTTGAATTATTGAAACAACCGCAAGACTCATCAATCAAGGATAATTTGTTTTTGTGAGAGGTTTCAAGAAATGATATATTAGGAAAAATCCAAGAAATGATATATAAGTGGAAAATAACTCTCACCTTAAATATCAATTTTGTAGGATTGAGTTAGGAATATATAAGAGGAAAACAACTCTTACCTTAAATATCGATTTTGTAGGGTTGAGTTAGGTTCAAATTCACTATTCTAATATGACATTAGAGTCATCCTAAATCCTTAAAAAAGGATCACCTATCCTAGATCACTAAAAATGGGTTACCCACCATTTATTCACTTACCAAGTCCAATAATATTAAACGTGAGGAGTGTATTAAAAAAAATCCAAATCTCATGTCAACTATAAATTTTAAGCAATTAAATAATATATAACTAAAAAATAAATTTTGGTTGAATAAAGATTTTTTTTAATAGTATAATTATGAAATATAAATTCTTTCTATCATAATTGAGATGATTTCAATTACGATTTTATATCTAAAATAGGGTTTGAACTCTTATCTTACACAAATGTCAAACTATTTATCCCAGCAAGTTTTCGAGTAAAATAAAGGATTTGATTGCAACCACTATTGCTTTCAAGTGTTACGTTTTTAGAGAGATTAAAGGTTTCGCGAATAATGTTGCAAAATTCAGTCGCGCTGTGGATTTTAGTAGGGGATAAATTGATTTTTCCCAGGAATTTTTTGTTGGCTGATTTTTCAGCTACTGTTTTCCTTTTGTTAGTTTTTGCTGGTTTTCCTGATCTTTTTGGCCCTTTTCCTAATAATAAGAAAAATTAATAACTACGGTGGCACAAAAACAAATTTGTTGAATCCGTTAGAATATGTTTGGATGGAAAATTTTAATGGAGTAATTCATTTATTTGAAGAATTTCAAATTTTTTGAGGTGAAATACTTTGTTTGGATGGAGAATTTACAAAGAATTTGAAATTCAAGCATTTGTGAAATTCTTTGAAACAGTAAAATTTCAAATTCCCCCAAAAAGATAAGAATTTGAAATTCCTCATATTTTTTCATCTTATTTCACTTATATATTTTATCTTATATTTTCATATTTTTAATTATTGAATATTTAAAAATAATTTAAAAATTATTAAATATTATCTAATATTAATTTTTAAAATTATTAAATATTTAAAAATTGGTTAATATTTTTTTTATAAAATTTTATTTAAAAATCTTAACATATAAATATATTTTTAAAATCAATTTTATCATGATAAAATCAAATTATCATATCTAAATTAATAATTTAAATTTTTAAAAAAATTGAATCGACTTATCCAAACAAAATATTTTAAGAGTGAAAGAAATTGAAATCAAAGTAATTCAAATACCAAGAATTTCAAATTCCTTGAATTTGTAAAATTCCTCATCCAAACACACCATTAAGGTTAATGACATAAATTAACAATGAGGATGAAAATTATATCAGTTGTGAGCACTAAAATTAACCAAAAAAAAATCATATGGACTAAAATCAAAAGACAATAATTTTGTAAATACCCTAAACATATTTAATCTTATATTCTAAATTAATTTAATTACAAATAAAATATTTTTAAAAAAATCATTTTAGTTCTCTTACTTTTAAAAATGAAGATGTGTTTATCCACTATTAACTATTAGCATATCATATTCTTGTCACAAATCTCTTTATTGGATTACTATGTTAATGGTGCAAAATATCTATTAATAATATTGTTAATGTACTTTGAAGAATAATGTGAGGAATATAATAATAAAAAAGTTACAATGAGCTCTGTTAGGATTTTGGAGGGATTTGAGTCTAAGGAGGATGATTCTAGCAATAGGAGTACTAAAAAAAGTTAAAATAAAGAACAAGTTTGAGGCGAGATGAGAATATGAATGATACCTTGCAATTTAATAATGATAAAGATTCCGCCAAGTCATATATGGAGAGCCTTTTATCTTTTGGGGGAGGAAATATCTTTACTGATTTTAATAGTTTTATGAAAGAAATGAAACCTCTAAAAGAAGAGATCTATAAGAAAAATTGTCTTTGATGATGATGATTCAATATTAGGCCCTTACCCTACTATCCTAGTGACATAGAAGGAGTTTGAATAATGGTGCAATTCATGGAGGAATTCACTAGTGATCAGTGTTTTAGGTAAGCATGTTACATACATATTGAGAACAAGGTGCAACGTGAGTGAGCAGAGACCAATGTTGTTCAAATTTTGGATATGTCACAAGATTATTTCCTCAATCAATTTGAGGCTAAGGAGAATTACAAACATGTTTTGTTTGAAGGGCATTGGATGATAGTTAATCATTATATTATAGTTTAAAGGTGGAGATCTTTTTTCACGACTAATAAAAAAAAGTGAAAAAGATTATAGATTGAATTAGAATATCGAGTCTTCCTATCGAGTTTTTTATTAGCTGATGAATTGGTACCAAGTTAGACATCATATTCAAAATTGATAAGTTAACGTTTATAAAATCGTGGGAGTGTTTTGTGAGAATATGTGTAGAGTTTGACATTGGAAAAAAATTGGTCTCACAAATCAACATGTTGAAACATATCCTAATACATGAATATGAATGGTTACACCCTATATGTTTTAAGTGTGGGAAGTATGGTCACAAATAGTGTCAATGCATGGATTCAGCAGGGGTAGACGTTGATCCTAGAGCACCTAGTATTGAGGGAGCATCCATGGAGATTGCCGGTGGTGTGCAAAAGGAGCCAACAACTAACGTTAGCCCTTAAAAGATTGGACCGTTACAAATTTTGGCGAGTTGTACGAACCCTAGATGATTGTGCATAAAGGTAGGAAAAGAGAAAGGAGAAATTAAATGCGAATGATTCGCGTGGCCATAATGGCAATGGACCACGTTTTGTTACGCTTAATAATATCGTTGATTGTGCAAGCAAAATACGTGATGCACATGGGAGCAAATATCCATAGCAGATGACTAGCAAATATTCAAAAAGGGTTATACACATGACCAATTTAAAAAATAAGGAAGTGGAGGTTCCTTATCCTCCCTCCAAAACTCGTAGTGGGCCTAAGGAGTGATATATAAGGGGAAGTTTGAGGGATGTACCATCTTTTTATGCGTGCAGACAAGTCTAAAAGCTACGTGAAATCTCCTTTTTGATGTTGCCATGCACATTATTCTCCTTAATGAAGACATGCGTGCTTTTGTGTTAACCCTTGGCAAACATTTTTATTAGAACCGTTTCTATGATGAGGGATCGTCGTGGGGATGATGCTTTCAAAACATGTGTTCGTGAGTGCAAGCTTCTAAACATAGGATTTCAAGGTGCTCTTTTCACTTAGAGGCGTGGTTCCTTATTAGACTGACTTGATAGGTGCTTGATTTCTTATAACTAGAGGTTGGAGTTTTTGGAGGCTAAGCTCATGCATTTGAATCCCCTTAAGTCAGATCATTGTCCCTTAAGTCAGAAGGGAAAGGAGACCCTTTAGATTTGAAGCGATTTGGTTGACACGTGAGCAATTCCCAAATGTTATAAGGAGAGAGTGGAGAACCTCTAGTGATTGAAATTCCCGAGTAACCCACATATACAGGACTCTTTTAAGGTGTGGAACTGTAATGTATTTATTTTCCTGACAAAATGAAAACTCCTAAGGCTACTAAATGTTATTGCTAGAAAACTCAATCAGGAAGTTAATCCTTTCTTGGATGACTTTCAAGCAACACCATGAACAATTACTAGTAAGTAGTAAGAGAATAACTTTTATGGTTTAAGAAGTCTCACTGTAAATGGCTTCAACTTAGAGATAAAAATACTAGGTTCTTTCATGGGACTATTGTTATTCGTAGGAGAAATAAGGTGATTGTGCTTCAAACCGAGGATGGGCAGATAATACATAATTAGAAGGTATGGTGACTGAGTATTATAAAATTTTATTCAAGGACCCGAGCACATCTACTAATTTCTGTTTGGAAAATAGTTTTTCGAATTTAAATGAGATTTCTTACCGGACCTTAGGCTCTGCTTTTTCTGATATGGAGATTTTCAATGCGGTGAGAAGTATGGGTGGATTTAAAGCCCCTGGATTGGATGTGGCTTGTAAGCTATTTTTTATCAGTATCAATGGTAGACGATGGGCCCTTCAGTACGAGTTTTAGGTGAACCCTTCTAGGATGGCATTTGTTAATGAGATATTAATCACCCTTATCCCTATCCCTAAGGTGGAAAAAGTTGTCTTGTTAAAGCACATGAGACCTATTAGTTTTTGTAATCTCTCCTATAAAATCCTTACCAAAATCTTATGATAGAGATTGAAAGGTGCATGGATTGAGTGATTGGAAGACAAAAATAATTTCCTTTGTTGGGAGTGTTACTCTTACTCATTTTGTTCTTATAGCTTTGCTTCCTTGTACAATGCAAATACAAACAGTAAATTTGCCTCATCAATTGTGTGGTGAACTCGACAAAGTTTGTAGGACATATGTAAACTAAAACTGGAAGGTGATTTAAATATTCAAAAGTGTACAACATATGAATTCGTTATCCTAATAAAAAATTGCTGAAAGATTTTGTACACAACTTTGTGGGTTCAAGTGCTTAAAGTCAAGTGATGGTAATAATAATAAAATTTAGAGTCATCATTTAGATTTTAAATTTGTTTATTTTTGTTTCAATCATCAATATAAAATGAAAAAATAAATAATGCAAAAGAAAGTCAAATAAAGAAAAATTCTTTATGTAAAAAAAAATATATACATCAATATCACATCACCATTGAACTTAAAAAAAAAATACAATAGCAATCCATGTAATAAAAAAAAATGACAGATGTGGTCTTCAGGTATTGATCGAGGTGTCACACACAATAGAGACAGATAAGGTATGGAGGTTGGTTTGGAAGGAGGTGGGAGCGAGAGAGATGAGTGATGAGTGATGAGTGATGAGTGATGAGTGATGAGAAGAGAAGAGAAGAGGAATGAAAAAGCAATCATAAAGCTGAGGAGTGAGGAGTGAGGAGTGAAAGGGAAAAGGAGGAGAATGAGAATGTGTAGCAAGAGAGAGAAGAGGGGAGGAGTGTTGCCGAAGAGAATAATTCTGATGCGGCACGGTGAGTCGGAGGGTAACCTGGATCCGACCGCATACGATACCACCCCGGACCCCAAGATCGAGTTGACGGAGCAGGGGATAGCGCAGGCGCGTGCCGCTGGGGCCCGCATTCGCCACGTGATCGAGGGGGAGGGGGAGGGCTCAGAGTCAGACAATTGGCGCGTCTACTTCTACGTCTCACCCTACGCGCGCACCCGATCCACGCTCCGCGAGCTCGGCCGCGCCTTCTCCAAGAAGCGCGTCATCGGCGTCAGAGAAGAGTGCCGCATTCGGGAACAGGACTTCGGCAATTTCCAGGCGCAGGAGCGCATGAACGTCATCAAGGAGACTCGCCAACGCTTCGGCAGATTCTTCTATCGCTTCCCCGAGGGAGAGTCCGCCGCCGACGTCTTCGATCGCGTTTCCAGTACTCTTTCCTTTCCCTTCCTTCTCCGATTCAACTTTTCATGCAATTTCTTTTTCTTCTTTTTTAATTACAATTGGATATATCTTATCTTAATTATGAGGATCATCCAACTGAAATTCTAGTTACCACTTACTCGACCTATTATCCTAGACCTAGCTGATTCAAGTATATAACAATACCATAGGATGTTAGTGCTGCTCTCATCGAGTTTCTCCTTCGTAATTCACATTTATATTTAATCGCGTATTTCTGAGCTGAACCTCCAACTTAGATTCTGCGCCTATGCTAGATTACACTTAAGTTTTGTCCTAAACTTTAAATGACAAAAGGTACTGTTATTTCTTGTTTTCTGATTAAAATTGGAGTTTTACTTTTCTCATTTATATCTAATATAAACTTTGGTAATATATATTTACGTATATTATTGAGGTGAAATTTTAATTTTGATTAGATAACAACACCAATAATATTGTAACACTATACCTGAGTTTTGTCCAAGTTGAAACTAGGAAAAATATTAGATGATTACAAGTTTTTAAAGAATTGTTTACGGGCTGAGTTTCTGTTTCTAGATCTGCACTGCTTTAGGTTATTCAATAAGGATAAAACTTACCAAAAATCTTAGATATAGGACTTACCGTTGGTGTTGTTTTACACTTAAGAGTTTTATGTTGATATGATGCATAATAACAGTACTTAAAGAGTAAAGTAATGTATGCAAATTTTCTCCAAAGACTTCATATGTAGTATTTGATGTTATTTTTTTATTAGAGTTGGAATTTCACTCAGCTAATATGTATTTTTATAATTAAAGATTCTATTAAATGTTAATGTGTATTACTCATGTAAAATTTCAATTTTAATTGGATAACAATAGCAAGAGTATTTTTGTATCTTAGTTTTGTCCTATTCGACAATTAATGTTGGCTAATTTTGACTAAATTGATGTTGAATTTTCATTTATCTGTGTGGTGTTAAATTAAGATGTCTCGTTTTGTTTTGTTTTGCAGGTTTTCTTGAATCTCTATGGAGGGACGTTGACATGAACAGGCTTCACCATGATCCTTCTGATGATCTGAATTTGATAATTGTGTCCCATGGGCTGGCATCTCGTGTTTTTCTGATGAAGTGGTTCAAGTGGACGGTTGAACAGTTTGAGCTTCTGAACAATTTGGGGAACTGTGAGTTTCGCGTGATCCAGTTGGGGAGTGGTGGAGAATACAGCTTGGCTGTTCATCATACGGACGATGAACTGCTTGAATGGGGACTCTCTCCTGATATGGTTGCTGATCAGAAATGGAGAGCCCATTCCAATAAGCATGACTCCAATGGTTCATGTTCCTGGTACCTCGATGCATTTTTTGATCATCTTCCTGATTCTGATTCTGATGATGAAAATGTGGACAATCATGATGAGACAAATTGCGTGTCTAGTTAAGCTTTCACAATGCATGATGGATTACTCAATTTTCCCGTCCAATTCATTGAAAATAACGCACAAGTTAGTATAATTTGCTTCTATTTAATGCGCATATCAATCATGTGTAACACACAACCTAACACGCTGTTGTCTTTGAGTGTGCATTCAGTGTGCCTAGCTAGTTTCTGAATTCGGGATTCATGTTTACTCGATAGTGGGTTGTTCTTTCTTTGTGTTTTTGATAAAAGAAAAGATCATTTCCAAAACAGGGGAAAGTAAAGAAGGAAAGGACAAGGAGATAAAAGGTTGTTACTTGCTAGTTAGCAGCTCTAATCTTTCATTCATTCATCATAAGATTGGGATCCAATTGTAGGGAATTGTTGCTTTGTGTAATGGCGGTAATGCATAATGAATGTACCCTGTATTATACATTATGACAGAATTTAGAAGAGCTTGAACATACAGGGTGTTTTTAGAGTTTGTACTCGCTTTGTGATCCTTGATGTTTGTGAATATTGGACTTCATTCTTGACCGCTTAATGTGAAAATTCCAAACATGCTATCCAGTTAATTACGGAGTCTTGCTGCATCTTATGTGTTTCTTTTTTCTCATAAGACTAAGAACCATGATTTGCACATGAGATTTATAATTTCTAATAGTTTATCTATGTAGAAAGATAACATATAGATTGAAGATATTAATTAATATTTTTATTTTACACTATTTTTTTTTTACTTTTTAAAATGACATTCTTTATTATTTTTTCGTCCATAATATGTCTGTAAAATATTTAAGAATTAAATAATATAAGACATTTAAAGATGATAATTAATATTATTTTAAACTTTTGAATAGAGAAAAATGAAAATAGAATTTAGTTTTAAGAGTAAAGAGAGACGAAGGCCAGAAAGTAGAGAAAAATAAAAAAAAATATATTTACTTATACAATAAATTATACAACAAATTTTATAATTAATAAAAAAGAAAAACTAAAATTTAATAAATAATAAAATAAACACAAAAAAGTAATTTTATACTAGGTATAAATTATTATATTAGTATGGTTCCTTAAAAAAAAATTTGGCCGGTAGACTCTGGCGGAGATTCCAAATAGAGCAAGTAGAAACTAATTGCCTCTTCTCTTGACATGCATGTATTGGGGTTGAAAAAACATGATGAGCGGTATTCCATAAATGGTTTTGTTGATGTGATGTTCAGATCATACCATTAAATTTGAATCTTAAATCAAGTCATTATTAAATTTAAGGTCGACGTTGGCACAAATTAATTAATTGTTTCAGTGTTGGTATCTTAAAGTAATGAGGGACGATTATTTGATAGAATAACTAAGAAAAAAAATCCTATTTCTTTTTAATAAGGAAAGAAAAAAAAAACTATGAATTAATAGTACAAAACATTTTTTAAATTATTATCTAATCACAAACCATAATTTATGATTAGTTAGTTGACTTTTAAAGTAATTTTTAAAAAATTTATCATTGAAATAAAACACCTAAAAATGTCCTTATCAAAGAAAATTTCAAAAAATATTTTTATACAGCATATTAAATACAAACACTATTTTATGTAAGAGAGCGTCCTTCGTCATTTAGAAATATTTATTTATCATTTTCAATTTTAATTTTTTAAATTTTTTTTATCTATTTCAATTTTTATTTACCATATTTTTTTTAGATAATTAGGCTACCCATTTTAGTAACTACTTTATTTACCATATTTATTTATAAATAAAATATTAATATTTTAAATAAACTATCAATAATTAAAATTAATTTTAAATTTTTTATCATAAATATAAAATATAAT